GAAACACAACCAAGCAACCACCAATGGACATCAGATGCATGAAACACAACCAAGCAACCACCAATGGACATCAGATGCATGAAACACAACCAAGCAACCACCAATGGACATCAGATGCATGAAACACAACCAAGCAACCACCAATGGACATCAGATGCATGAAACACAACCAAGCAACCACCAATGGACATCAGATGCATGAAACACAACCAAGCAACCACCAATGGACATCAGATGCATGAAACACAACCAAGCAACCACCAATGGACATCAGATGCACGAAACACAACCAAGCAACCACCAATGGACATCAGATGCACGAAACAACCAAGCAACCACCAATGGACATCAGATGCACGAAACACAACCAAGCCACCACCAATGGTCATCAGATGCACGAAACCCAACCAAGCCACCATGACTCACGCACCTTAAGCTCCTGCACTTGATTGTGGAGTTTCTTCCTGAAGGCCTCCCCTTGCAGCAGGTCGCGTCTGAGAGCTGAGATCTCTGACTGCGCGTCGCTGAGGGCCGCCCTCAGGGAGACGACCTCAGCTCCGCGCTCTGCGACCTGCGCCGTCGCGGCCGCCAGCTGCGCCGTCACCAGCGCCTGCGCGCTTGTGCACTCGCTCAATGTGCGCTGCACAGTGCAAATAAATATCATGGTTTTCAAGCGATGCTTCAATGATGCTGCAGTCCCTAAATAACGTAATTAATTCTTTATTGATTCTCACCTAGCGCTGCACACAAATAAATCATTAGTTAACCGGAAATACTCCATTAAAACTACAATAATCAATGCTCATTTGCACTGAAACAATTAGTCAATAATCATTAACTCTGCAACACCCAATGCTACCTCCACAGAAATATTTAGTTATCAAGCAGAAATTCCTGAATACTGCAATAGTCAAGACTTATTTGCACTGCAACAAATATTCAAGTCGATGGGCTGCTAGCTACAGGGCGAATGGCAAGCAGCATCAACCATGCAGCTTGACTGTACCTACCAAGTTAATGAAGACTTAATTTTACATAGCTTTAAAATTCTCTCTCATTCTTCAACACATTCATCACAACTTGGGTTAAACTCTCTTACGACTGGTATGAAGATTAGTAGTAGGTATTGTTCCAGCCTTTACTAATTAATAGAAGTCTCGCTTAAGTCACCAGCCTGATTGAATTAGAATTATAACAAAATTATAAAGAACGTTTGCAGCATCAAATTCACAACAAATTCCATGCACTTAACATCACAAATTAGTTAATTTATAGCAAACCTTAAGCGCATTGATTTCGTCAATTTTTATGTCGAGGTCAGCAGAGAGGTTCTTGTTGTCGCGCTCTCGGGCGGCGAGGTCTTCCTCCAGCCTGCGTATGGAGCGCTCCAGGGAGCGGCATTTGGCCTCTCCACTTTGCTCCAGCTCCCTGCAACGAAGTACAATGATGAGGGGGGCTGTGGTGAGACTAGGCACTTTGCTCAAGCTCCCTTTAATGCAATATAATGATGCAAGAGGCTGTGATGATGAAGAGTGAGGCTGGGATGATGAAGGGTGAGGCTGTGATGATGAAGGGTAAGGCTGGGATGATGAAGAGTGAGGCTGTGATGATGAAGGGTGAGGCTGGGATGATGAAGAGTGAGGCTGTGATGATGAAGAGTGAGGCTGTGATGATGAAGAGTGAGGCTGTGATGATGAAGAGTGAGGCTG